AACGTGACTGCTGATCATAAGGTACCAGGTTCGAATCTCGGGTCGGGCCAAAATCAGTTATTGAGTTTTCCTGGCAAGAAATTCTCAGTAGCACCCTCGTGCCCCGGAGGTCCTGCGCCTGATCTCCCGGTCGTGTCGGATTACCGTTCCATCGGACCAAGAGTAATCGAATAGGGAGTGCACCTGTGCGCATACACTTGGGCACTATAATGCTGTCCTGCGTAGATATGGCTAGTCTCCGTTAAGACTAGCCATATAAGCGTGCGAAGAAGCGTCAGTAGCCTAATGGCAGGGCGCGGACCGCAAACTCGAAAGGTCGTTGGTTCGAATCCGCCATTCGTCTACTGTCGTGAACCACTTCTAACACAAGCATTTTTTTAAACTTAACAGAAATGGTTAAAGGGAATATTAGTAATTTTTAATAACATTACTAGTATTTAAAAAATAAATAAAACTGGCCGCCGTACCATGACCGAAATTCGGTCTGGAGGACATTATATGTATAATAAAAATGTTGTATATAAACACATCAACATGGTATAGGGATATTTTAACAACACATGAATTCCAAGGGACATTTATATATCCAAGAGAACTTTATTTAATAATGTACCATTTTTTATATAAACATTGACTTTAAATGAGATTTAGATTTTTTTAGAAGACTCATGAAAGTTTAATTTTTAAATAAAAATAAAATAAAAACCTTTTAAGGGCGGCTATCAATTAACAGAGTTATTAATCACTAAAAACACCCATGACATTCATAACGCGTCTGCATCGGTTGGGCATACTCAGAATACGGTTGTCAATATCTTGTTGACGAATATTGTCCTAGGTCTTACCGAGATGTAGAAATAGTTGTTCTTTGGTAACCAAATTTTCAAAAAAATCCTTCAGAGCTCCTCTTTGGAGCACATCCCAAGCATGTTCAATGGGATTTAAACCTCTGGCCGCGGCATCATGTTCGTATAACCAGGCTATTACCACCGTTCGTATGTGAACGGACATTGTCGTGCATAAGCAGAAAATTTTGACCTATTTTGTATTCGATGTGGCAAGACTATTTTCTAGCACCTCATTATCGTATTTTTCAGCCGCCATAGTGCTCTGTATCCAAACAAGGTCCGTTCTTCCACCGAAACTAATTACTGCTCACAAAATAATTGTACCACCTTGGTATGGATGAACTTCTTGAGCGCGTTGAAGCCGGCTTGAAGCAGGATGAAAATCCAAATCGGGATTCATCGGTGAAAAGCACCAACGATCATTGATGAGGTTTGCAAATCGCAATTTTTTACGTGGTAGAGCCATGTTGCAGCTATATTAGTAGTATAGTTGTAGCACGAATGGGTCGGCTCGACCGTGCAAGGACAACGCTCTCACAGAATACCAGCGTAAAATAGCAGCATAACGCTGCTGTGTTTCGTATGGTGAGTGTAGAGAACCGGAGAGTCTTTTTTACTGGAAACGAGGCATTCCATCTTAGTCCTCACGGGTGACAACGCATCTGCATTTTAATTCGTAATCGAGGATAGATGTAGATGTCTATGGGTCACAGCAACTACTTACCATCAGGTGGACAGTGTGCTCGTTTGTCACCTTATTCTATAAAAAAAATCACATGTTCACTCTAGCTCATTGCAGTCTTTGTCCACGGTTTTCTCTTCTTACAGCTAAAATCCGAAGTGGTCTACGAGCATAAAGTTGTAACTTCGTGCAGTCTCATCCTCACAATTTCGTGCACTCACCAGTTCAGACTGTAGCTTTTAGACCAGTAATTGTATCGCTTTAACATTTGGTTGTCTTCTCTCAGCAATTTGCAAAAAACAGTCTTGTCTGGGTGCAGTAATACGGCTTGGTCCTGAATCTCTCTCCGCCACCTCCCCCGTGGCACGATAGCGTGAACACAACCTCGAAATCACATTTTGCCTGGTGACCATTACCTCAGCAACGTCACGTTGAAAAGCACCAGTCAGCAGCATTCCTACTGCTCTTAACATCTCCTCTCCAAGTAAATGTCATTTTATTTTTTGCCATTGCAATAAAATGTCAAATTATTACAATCAACCCAAGATGACCTTCAGTAGTGTACAATACTACTGAAGGTCACTATAATATTAAAAAGATCTGTCAAAACGTCGTACTAATAATATGAATGGTTTGGATACCGGTAATTTAAAGCTTCTTTATTTATATAATTTAAAATTAAAAATTTTGTACAGCCGACTTCAATAGAAGTTATTAAAAATACCTCAAAATCTATTGGTCTGACCTTGATCAAATTCATATGGGACCACACGAGAAGTACCAGCTTTCAAATAAAAAAAGAATCATCCAAATCGGTTCACCCAGTAAAAAGTTATGAGGTGACACATATAAAAATAAAACATACAGTCGAATTGTCAAAAAATTCCGGTATTGCGTGTGTTCGCAATTTAGCTCCTAAACGGCTAGACCGATTTTGATGAAATTTTCATGGGGTCGGGTACTTATCGGGTACCGTGGATGGTTCTTAGTTATAGTTGGACCCGGTAGGTGACGCTGTTGTTAAGAACCTGAGCCTAGAATAACCTGGGCGGATCGCATACACTATAATATATAGTATAAATAAAAATTTATTCGGTCCTTAATTTTTTTCTTGTTTTATGTTTCATTGTTATATTCTTTAGTTTCAGTTATTTTTTGTAGTTATAATGGATTGTCGTACACAATCAGAATCTTGGCATTAAGATTATTGGCAATATGTCAAGGGATGGTCAATGTTTTTCTTCGAAAACTCGGCGATAAAATTTTACAGTATTGCCAGATATAACGCCGGGGCAAGGCGCTTTATATTTCGATAAATAAAGTACACCAAGAATACTGTTAGGTAGTGCTTTTTTATTATTATAGGATAGGTTGACAAACAAGCACACAGTCCAACTGATGGTACGTGTTTGTTCTACATCTACTCTCAATAAAGAATCAAAATGCAGATGCATTGTCACTCGTGAGGACTAAGATGGAATGCCTCTTTTCCAGTAAAAAGGGTCTCCAGTTCTCTACACTCACCATACGAAACACAGCAGTGTTAAGCTGCTATTTTACGCTGGTCTTCTGTGAGAGCGTGGTCCTTCCCCGGTCGAGCCGACCCATTCGTGCTAGAACTATACTACTGATATAGCTGCAGCATGGCTCTACCACGTAAGAATCTGCATTTTGTTGAAATATGTGGATATCTATAGGCCACAGTATTACATTCATTTATAATTAGATAGACGCTCGCCTGTCACCCCTTATTTTTGTAAAAAAAAATTGCACACAGTTTAAAATTTGATTTAATAATGTAAGTAAGAAAAATTCGGGCAACTGTATGTAGTTTTTTTTTTATAAATTCCGCTAGAGTTCGCTGACTCACATGTTATGCTAGTTCGGCATCTTATTATAATCACTATTTTCGGAATTACGACGCCTTGTTTCAATGTCAGATCACTGGAGGCGTTTCGAAGTATCAAAATAAATCTTCATGACCATTGCTTTGTGCTTTGAAAATATCTGAGTTATTAGAAGTGAAATAGATTTATAACTAAGAGCTGTGTAGCGGAGATATTTTTATAACTTCCATTGAAATAATAATTGATGGTACTTAATTAATTAGCTTAAATTATTTTAAATTTTAAGGAGTAGTCCCTGAGCTACTTGCTCCACGGCTACTTTAAAAAAATTCCATTAAAAAAAAAGTAATTTTTGGCAACGTTACAGCTTATAATTTTTTTTTTACTTATAATAAGCCAGTGCTTGACTACAATCCCACCTGGTTGGTAAGGGGTGATGTAGCCCTAGATGGTAAATCGCACTGTCTTTTTACTTAGCGTAACAAAAGCCTATTCACTCTTGCCTTGAAGACGCCCAGATTGTATTCGGAAGGAAAGATAGACACCGGCAAATTATTCCACTCCTTTGTGTGAATCCACTGTTGAACATAGGCCTCGCCTATAGATTGCCTCAAATGGGGATATTTGCCACGCTTGGCAAGCGAATTGGCAACCGCAGTTTTTTATTTTTAGGACGCTGCTGCATATCTCCTGATTTGTTTCCGTCTGTCGCCTCTTACGATACCCACGAGATTATAACGGGTAGTGGATGTTCTTGTAACGCCACTACACGGTAAATTTTAGGCGCGGTCGGTGATAAATAGGTAAAGAATAATAATTCATCGTCACGCTTGGCAGGTGAATTGGCGATAGCAGCACCAGACGTCTCCGACTGACGCTGCTGCTGCTGTCCGTCGCCGGTCTGGTTATTTTACATCTGGCGTGAACTAGATGGTTATTCTGTCATCTATCAGATGCCATGAGAACGACACCCTTGGAAATAAATGGGCTGATGGATTATTTAACGCTAACACCATCCACCACATCATGTACTTAGTCTAGTAGTAATTAATGTTTCAAATATTTTAAGTGGGTTGCTAAATAAACCCATTCCGTAGTCAGGTTGACTGTGTTACTGATGTTCATATGATATGGTTTTATTACTAGAAACTTACTATTTAGGAACATACAGATATACTAAAATATTATATGTTAATTTAGACTCCAACACTGTTGGGTAAAAAGTAAAAATATTAATAACTAGTTTTGTTTTTAAACATTTATATTTTCATTGCAAATCAAAGGAAACGAAGCTAGATATCACCCCGTTATTTGAATTTACTGTCTGGAGGATTTATTGATAGAATTATTTAGAATATAAATAATTTTTAAACTTATAACACAGCGCGCTCAATGAGAAAATGATTGCCAGGTACCAGTAATTACAACAATGATCAGTCTAAAAATACTGACATGTCCAATAAATCACTAGATACATCACGTTCATTGTCACGATCACAAAGCGCATAGACGAACCTTGGACAGCGAGATTAAACGAGACAAACGCAAGGAAGTCTGGCCATACGGCCAAATTTTAATTCTAAATTTGTACACCAATCTGGCAAGAATAGCATTTTAATTTTCAGTTGTTCATTTCTTGCCCTAGCGTCACATCGCTGCATCCCGTTCCTTATCACCCGCATGATCTCCGAAGAACATTAACCCTTATCTTACCCACACCCTAGTTCGCGCCGCAAAGAATGGGTCTCATGTTGTCTATTGTGATATCATACGCGGGTATACGCGACGCTATCGAATGCTTGAAGCACATTATCAGAGGTGTCGTGCCTGATGACGAACCAAACTTTCAAGATCTTGTCGAATACTACTCAATGCTCCTACGAAAGTCGGCCAATCCGTCGTCGCCTGGAGAATGGTTAAAGGAATGCGGTCAAGGATATCTATGCCTAACGGAAGATAAAAATGGATCACTAAAATCCGCCGCTGTTAAGTACTACGGGCAAACGCGTTCAGCGGCTATTTTGTTCTCGACAAAAATCTCTAGTTTTGGACAAGAATCAATCGAAGAGAATTCCCAGGCAAACGGAGACTGTAGAACGGAGAAATATACGCCGACTAAAACTAAAACAATTATATCGAATAGTTCCGAGTCCTTCAGCATAGGGCCAAGGAATAAACTAAATACGCCCCAAAACACCATAGAATCGAATAATTCTGATAACTCCGTTGAAAACGAGCACAACGCAGATGATTCTGCTGAAAACAAAGAAAAATTATCGTGGCATTACAAGCCTCTAAGTCCGGCACGGAAGCCACTACCGGAAATACACTTCCAATCATACGATGCAGACAGGGCGGACAGCACTGGTTACAGCGAAGAATTTTTAAGGTTAATATTCAGAGATTTAATTGAGCATGGTATGCGTGTGTATACATAAATCACATTCAATCGCATATTAGTTGCATATTAAATAGCATTAAGTGCGTACATTCTCATCAGCACCAATACACGTAGAGTTATGTACATGGAATCACAGCTTCACATGTATGATACCGACTCATATAATTATTGTTAATTTGTTTAAGATCACTTGATGGAATTAAGTTCCGTCCTTTACAACGAAATGACCCAAGTTGGCGTCGCAGAAGTTTCAGAAAGCGTCATTCTTCCTCTTCTAATTCATCAAGAGATTCCAGAGCATCGCGTGATGAAGAATTGAAAATGTTCACGTCGCTCGAAGAGGAAGAATTTAAAAAGATGAATGAAAACGACAACTTTGGGAGGTTTGGAAGCACGCCTAATTTATCGACGCGTTCTTATTCCAGAAGTCGATCGAGGGAGAAGTCAAGGGAAAAGAAAAGTGAAAGGTGGAGCATAGAAGAGACTGTTGATGACGCGCAAGAGGAAGAAAATACAGAAACTAAACCGAAGCTTAAAGATCTACCAAAATTGGACTCGTTCGTGGAGGAGAAAGATGAAACCAAAGAGCCCAATGAGGTAACTGAGGAAACAGAAGAAGACGTTGATTTCTGGGCTAACTTCGGAGATTAGTGCTTGGACTTAACGTCGCACGCGTTGTTATGAAGCTTCAATACAAGCATGACTGATTTGAATTAAATATAATGAGACCCTTCCCTGCGTTTTGTCTTTTTTTTTACATTCCGTAATGCTGCAATACATTCCTTTGCGACGGGAACCTTGTCTTCGTGTACGCTTTAAAAGTTTTGGCTTTGTTAGACATTACAGAAATGTAGCTGCTGCTTTGAAAATCTCTGTAACTACAAAACACAAAATCTATTTGACACTGAATACATGTACATCATTGTAAAACCAAATACTACATATATTATAAAATAATTGGTCTTTTAATTTACGCAATGCTTTCAACAATATCTATTTATCTATACCCAAAGTCTCTGAAAGAAGATACTCATTCTCTAAATACCTAGAACAAACAAGATTCAACAGAATTAGTAATTCATTTTTAGGGCGACGTATATATAGATTTTACATCAAAATCCCAGAAAATATTTTAAAAACCAAACAAGCTTGAAAACTTCACAAAAAGTAATAATAATATTAAGGAATAAATTAAATATACTACCGCTGAGAATAAGGTAACATTTATCATATTGTTTTCATAAAAAAAAAAAAAACAATACTAGTACAATGTTATTTTAAGCATTTTTTTTAAATAATCCCACTGGTATTCTTGCTGGACAAAGGGTATTGCCCAAACTGAGTGTTTAATATAATTAAATATCAAAAATTTTGTACAGCCAACTTCAATATAAGTAATTAAGAATAACTCAAAAACTATTGGTCTAACCTTGAACAAATTCAAATGGGACCACACGAGAAGTATCAGCTTTCATATAAAAAAGAATCATCGAAATCGGTTTACCCAGTAAAAAGTTATGAGGTAACACAGCACACATAAAAAAAAAACATACAGTCGAATTGAGTACCGTTTCCTTTTTGGAAGTCGGCAGACAAAATGATCTACAACAAAGTAATAATCTATACTGAATAACAAAATAATATCACAGTAGTGCCCAGGCCGTAGTATAGAGCAAGATACTCACACATATTGCATCTGTTTTGACGCGTGGAACACTACAAAACAGTGTTCGATTTTGAACTAGGTTAACTTACTATAGGTCGTTACCGATTTGTGTACTTTGTCGCATTGGAAGCGAGTTGCATAATCCATACGAAAATATCCACATGGTGAGGCTAGGACCTCGACCCACTTATGTTTTAATGAAGATGATGCCGCTCGACATTTCATTGCCGCCTCCCATTATTATGGGATTATATATTGACGTAATTAATTATATTGTACACCTGCTAATAGACTAGATACTGAAAGTTTTAAAGAAAATTAACAATGAAACACAGTAAGTAGATTGAGTAGAGACCCTTTTTACTGGAAACGAGGCATTCCATCTTAGTTCTCAAAGGTGCAACGGATCTGCACTGCATAACGTACTTAATCGAGGATAGATGTAGGTGTTATAGGTTATAGCGTTCACTTACCATCAGATGGACTGTGTGCCCGTTTGCCACTCATCCTTTTTTTTATAGGATAGGGTGATAAACGAGCACACAGTCCACCTTATGGTAAGTGGTTACTGTGACCCATAGACATCTACAGCTATCCTCAATAAAGACTCAAGATGCAGATGCGTTGTCATCCGTGAGGACTAAGATGGAATGCTTCTTTTCCAGTAAAAAGGGTCTCCGGTTCTCTACACTCACCATACGAAACACAGCAGCGTTAAGCTGCTATTTTACGCTGGTTTTCTGTGAGAGCGTGGTCCTTCCCCGGTCGAGCCGACCCATTCGTGCTACAACTATACTACTAATTTAACTGCAGCATGGCTCTACCACGTATCTAATATATAAAAAAAATGGTTTTTGTTTGTTCTTATATTCATTAGATTGTGGTAAAACTTTGTAAACTTGTTGCTTACACCTGCGCTAAGGTTATAGGCATAGTACAATTAAATGACAGTAGGTGGCGGGCGTATCGTAACTACAAATTTATTTGTAAGTTATGTATCATCCAACTGAATGTATTATCATTATTTAAACAATACAACATTTCCAAATTTAAAATGATATTTCCACAATTATTTCTTCTGCGACATTAATGCGCCGGGTACCCGCTAGTTATCTTTAAAAAAAAATTGATTGCTTGCTACTACACTATAATACATACGTATACTACATTTATATATATATAAGGAGCGTTCCGTGTGTTTACAAATACATGAATAATTTAAGCACATTCACATTCACACACCTAGCTAAATTAATTAATCTTTTCTAAATAAATCCTTAATTTAGTATCCAAAATTTTTCCATTTTGTATTATTTAGAATTCTTAATTTTTGACCAGCAATTGTTTACGAGTCCGTCTTATTTGGCTTCGACAGAATATCTTCGCTGCGTTAAATCTGTTGTAGCATTATGCTGAGTCCGTAGGCCTTTTTGTTGTACCTACTTTGTTTTTTTCTAAGTTTTTGTAGCAACAATTAAACATGTCAATACGTGATAGAGCTTCAACTATATTATGGTTGTACACACAAATGGGTCGGCTGGAACGGTGAAGAAACACCCACTTCCAAAAAACCAGCACGAAAAAGCAGTTTAATGCTGCTATTTTATACTGGAAACGGGGCATTCCATCTTAGTGCTCAGGGGTGATAACGCATCTGCATTTTTATTCTGAATCGAGGATAAATTTAGATGTCTATGAGCCATAGCATCCATTTAAATTCAGTTGGACTGTGTACGCGCTTGTCACCGTTATTCTATAAAAACAAAAAACAAGTTAGCGATACGAAAAATGACTGGTTTTTATAAATTATTACTGGCAAGCGCATATTTTTAAAATTAAACGTATGGTAACTATGTTTTCTATGCTGCGGCTTAGAAAACATTACAGGAGCGCGATATTGTTACTGCGGTTGTAACAAACACAATAGGCTTCCTGATGTAAAACAACACGTCCTATATTTGTTTCAACGGTATACAAAAGTGCGGTGAATTTTACGACAGGAAACTAGCACCTGGCACTGCTTTTAAAACACCCTTTTTGTTATTTTTATATTTCAGTTTTATGTTAGTAGTTATTATGGTTTAAGATAGCAGGGATTTGAATTTTGGAATTTAATAATTTTTTTTTGCTGATAAGTTATTGAATGAATGATTTATTTAGTAAATAACTTAAATTGAAAATTTTATAAACCCTCGAAACAAAAAGAGCTAATGATATTTATACGGCTGAAAAGATTTTGTTTAATAATAGCTAAGAACACTCTCGATCAGGTCACATTTCAAACAAAAACATACTAAATCTAAATCACTCAGACAGACACACAGATAGTGTGTCTACACAGATACGCAGGCATACACTACAAACATGTAACCTCTGTTTTCGCCGGGATTTAAAAAAAACCGGCAAAGTGCGTATATAAGTTTAAAATTATTAAAAATATTTTTATTATATGATGGAACTAAAAATTTATGCTTTTCGCAATTTTTCCTTTATCTGTGCTATAAAACGTTGTTTCGTACCAAATTTCAAGATTCTGAGTTCACAGAAAGTACCCTGTAGGTTTTGATTCCTTTACGAATGTCGAAAATTTACGGCACAAATGGCTGTATCTTTTGATTGCGTTGGCTTAGAAGTTTTATTTTTTCACAGCTCTAAGGGACAGTAGATTTGAGTATATGATATGAATTTCAGCTTGATACCTTCACGCGTTCCTGAGAAAAAGGGTCTTGACAGACAGACAGACAGACAAACAGACAGACAGACGGACAACAAAGTGATCCTATAAGGGTTCCGTTTTTTCCTTTTGAGGTACGGAACCCTAAAAAGGAAGAATATTCATGGGATAGAGATTGGCGTTTTTTTATAGAAAAAGGGTGACAAACAAGCAAACAGTTTACCTGATGGGAGGTGGATACATCAACATCTATTTTCGATTAAGGATCATAATGCAGGATTCGTTATCACCCCTATCGACAAAGATGGCATGCTTACATTAAATAAACGGTCTCCGGTTCTGAACACTCGCCATACGAAACAGCAGCATGGAGCTGTTATTTCACATTGGTATTCTGTGAGAGTGTCTGCACCCATTACAATTAAATAGATCTTTATAATAATAATAATAATTTCTTAAATAGATCTTTATCTTATTCAATACTCGTATAATTTATTACTTATAACACTTTAATTTTTCAGAATTGCTACAACCATCAACCATAGTATAACTGTAGCGTAGCTCTACCACCTATAAAATGCCATATGGTTTGCCTTAGTCCTTTTCACACTGTTCACTAAAGCTATGAACTTATTTTTGTTACACACCTAAAAAAAATTATTCATTTTACAACCATGATATAGCTGCAGCGTAACTCTACCACCTTTTTTATAGAATAAGGGTGACAACCGAGCTCACAGCCCACTTATATCTATCCTAGATTAAGAATCAAAATGCGTTGTCACCCCTGAGGACTGAGATAGAAGGCCTCGTTTTCAGTAAAAAGGGTCTCCGGTTCTCTACACTCATTATACGAAACACAGCAGCATTAAGCTGCTATTTTACGCTGGTATTCTGTGGCAGCGTGGTCCTTCAGCGGTCGAGCCGACACATTCGTGCTACAACTATAATATAGCTGTCATATTATTTCCCTTGGGCGATTTCGCGCTTTTCACTAAAATTATAAACAATTTATTTATGACACATTAGTTTTTTTTTAACATTCACCTTGAACGTGAAGTGCGGGCTGCAGTTGGCGGCTAAAATAAAATGAACTTACGCCAAAACAACGATATCTCACTCTACAGTGTGCTTTCGTCGCTTGTTTTTTTTTTCTTTTTGGTAATATTAATTTGTTTTCGGCACTCATTCTAGCTGTGTGCAGCATAAATATTATTATCTCTTTTCTCTGTTTCCTGCCATCACCGGGCATTTTCG